TGAGTTATCACGCTAACGGACTCATACATATAATTTTATCATTATATTATTATATATAAATTTATGATCTTAAATATTACATTTTAATTATGCATTTGAACGGTGGAGGGTGTCTGTGGCCTCAGAGGGCCTCAAAACGAAAAAGTAAAATCGGGCCCGCTGGGCTTAGGTCTTACCATGAGACCTACGGTAATAGCTTATTCTATATATGAGGAATTTGCTAAAAAAAACAACCGAAATAAAACCTATGTACAGTTAATACAATTTATTTCTATCCTTGTATTTAAAAAGCATGAAATCATTTTTTATGTACGTAATGGTTTTATAGAATGTTATTTTTGAACAAAATAATTGCATTATCATGATTTGAAGTTAAGAATTACTCATACATCGAATTAAAAATTTCCCCTTACAACTTCTTTCCCCACTGATCTTATATTTTCAACACTGGGGTAAGACGAGTCATCATACACTCGGCTTTTAATTTCTTGTCTTATCAAAGCCGCAGCTGTAGAAACGATTCTCTTAATCTTATCATCGTTATGCCTTTTATTATGTGCCAAGTTTCAGAGAAAATCTTTTCCAACCCTATCTCTTAAACAAACTATGGAGGATTTATTTTTAGGTTCGTAGTCTTATAAGCAGTCTTTCACCAAGTGATTAAGTAATAATGTTTTGAAGTATTTTGTTTCATAAACCTGGTCTCTGCCTGATATATTTTTCATCAATTACCAAAGGTTAGGAATACTATGCTGGCAATCATCATTTTCCTCAATGAAATCGCAAACTTATATGAATGATTCTTTTAATAAATCTTTAAACGGAGTACCACGACCTTTACACGTATTGAGTGGTTAAATGGGTTGTTTAAAAAACCTAGCACACCGAGATAAACAAATCCTTCTACCCTGGACCTAACCTAATCACCCCAATCATTTTTCCTATTTTCAATACATTCACTTATAGTTTGTTTAGTAGTTTAATTACAGTATGAACTAAATCGACTATTCTATTGTTTTTTTTTGTGTCTTGAAATTTAAAAAATCCAAAAAAATACAATAATGGGTAGAAACATCGTGCACGAGTGCGGTAACGAATCAGCTATGGAACGCCACATAAAAATAGTGCACACCATGCATTCACGGTTGATATATAGCGTTACATAACCATAAGTTACACGTTTCAATATATCATTTTAAAGCTGATAGCAGATACAGTTTTATTTGAAAAATACTTTCATAAAATGACGGCGTTAAAGTTTTGCAAAAAAAAAATAAAATTACAAGTTCAAAAAATATTAATCTTTACATCATCCTACGCATAAAAAACAAATGGCAACAGCTACGACGAGATTTAACTGGACATGATTGTAGGAAACGTTATTACAAAGGGAATAAAACAATTGCAATTCGATGTATGCTACATTTTTAACTTCCAGATCTTTGTTCAAAGATAACATTTTTTTTAAATACTACATACCTAAAAAAATAATTCCATGCTTTTTAAAATAAACTAAATAATTATTTTTTAGGATAATACAATAGTGTATCTTAAGTAAAAAATATCTCCATATTACAACAACAATAGTATTTCGCGCCAGCCCCACTTAGACCAAACCCACTTTAACTGAGACTGAGTACAAACACCACATTACACCGGCTGAATCTCGCAGGATTTTCATTAAATTAAGTACTATTATACATAATTCTAAAGCTAATGAAAGCAGCTACAACTAAACATATTTTTATAAAACGTCAGCGAAAAAAGTTAAGGCGACAAAAATAAAATTATATGTTCAAAAATATATAAATCTTCACATTTTTATACAAATAACAAACAAACGGTAACAGCTACGACGAAAGTTAACCAAACAGGATTGTAGGAAATTTTATAACAAAGACAATAAAACCATTTGCAATTCAATAAGTCGTTTAACAATCGAGAAACACGTGATTTACAAAACCTTCACACTATATATGTTTGGAGGGTCACAGGGGGGGAAGCAAGGGGGGTAAGGGAGGGGACTTTTTGCTGAACACTTGTCTAAATGGTAATAGTCGATGGGCAACAAATCAGCCTTCCACTAATTACTTCCAAAACAATCCCTTTATTGACTGGGCAAATAGTATTTTCTTGACTGGTATTTGAATTTTTTATACACTTTTCTTCATGGATGAAAATAATTTTCTCGCATGTATCTTTATCCTGGCGTGCTTCTAATCCATTTTCACAGTCACATGTGTTTTCAAATAATTCAATCGATGAACACTATTTTAGAGTAATTAAACTGCTTGCATGAACAGTGTTGCCAACCTTAATATTGAAACATTCTTTTAACTATACACACGATATAACAGAATTTGATTGAATAACATATAATAACCTTTAATAATGACATATCCTATGATAGTTTAAACTTAAACAACGATTAACTGTAAATATAAGCATTGGTTGATGAATTTTGATTGACTTGATGCTGAATTGAATAGTTAAGATTAATAACTACTTAACAACCTGTCAACAATAATTTTTTTTTGATCAGAAATCTCTTCAAATCTTCCTTTAAAAGGTCATCCAACCCTTCCTAACATGATAATTCCAACTGTATATTCTGTAACCCATTACATACAAATCCTCACCACAAATCATCTTAATTAAAACTTTTACTATTTACAGGCCAATTAGCACTTTTGCTTTAAGTATTTAATTTTTACAAGACTTTATTATTTTATAACATATTATTTCCAATAAGAATCTCATTATCATTATTTATTTTGGATAAGATAAATACATAAATGACATATACATTTAACACTTTTCTGACACAAAAATGCATTTTATTTAATTGTTTGACAAATCTGTCTACACAAAATACCTTTGACCTTTTCTGTAACCGTCTTCCCTCCATTAGAGACAGTTCAGGCGGGTAATCTAGGATTAGTTTGATAGAGTTGAGCAAATTTAGCGGGAATCCTTAATTGCTTTGACATAGACTAACCAACCTACGATAGTTACTGGCAACACAAACGGTATTGCCGAGTAACTTTTAGCATTTGATATCTACAGAAGTTGTTCAAAATTCAGTAATCAAAAATTTTATTCATCACTAAGTAGTACACAATATGTAGCCATCAGACTTATGCATTAGACAGTACCCAGACATTTTAAGTTTTCATTACATTCACTAATTGTTAAATGCTATTCAATTTTAAACAATATTAGGCTTACTTACCCAGCAAAGCCGCAAACAGTGGTGCCCGTATTTGTGGAAATAGCTTGACTAGGATTTTCATGTTATGTAAAACGGTTTTCGCTTCTTCATCGACCGATGTTATCATTAGCTTAAATCCAGACATCTAAAAAATAATGATATAAGTTAAGAAATTTTGTGATATTTAGTTATGTAACGATTAGTTTAATAGATCAAAATAATTGTTAGGCGTTCATACACCACCTTGTATAGAGTTTTAACTTATAACTTGTATAATTTAATTCCAATTTTGGCCTCGATATATGGTAATATGGCTGAGTTTATTTAGACAGTTTTACATTGAGACTGTCATTGTGTTTATAATACTTTGAAACTAAACTCAACTGTTTATAAAAATGTGTCAAGAATCAAGAATCAAATATTTCCTAATCAAAAATCAAATGTCTTTTTCTAGTTTTACAATACTCAAAAGTTAAAAGGGTAACATTTTGGTTCACGTGTCAAAGAGAATATAGGCCATAATAAAAAAAAAAACACAGAGAGAAATAAATTCAGATGAGGATAGCTACAAGAGAAAAAAATTACAGTTGTATTTTGAGTCTGATTTTTAATCAATCATGGTTGAAGTAGGTATTATACGTTTATCCCAAAAGTAACTTTCTAAATATTAATGTCAAAACACCCATCGTTGAACCTAAATAAATATAATAGTAATTTTTCAAGTATTAGTTTTCTACAGGGTTCAGTTTACTATGCTAAAGAACAATATCTTAAAAAAATAAAACATGTTTACATGAATTTCAATTAAAATAGAACGACCCTTATTTCCTAATTGTTCACACGTGTGGAAAACTGTTTAGTTTTCCTGGTAAAACTAATGAGACCACGTGTCTAGGATTTGTCTTAAGGGGGTTTATAAAATTGATTGTAGCAAGTTTTGTACTCTTAAATGTAGTGTGGATAATGGTAAAATAAATAATCTGGGTTTTTATCAAAATAAAAACTATCTAATTCGCCTTAGGAGTGCTTATTAAATTGTTTGTATTTTTGATAAGGTTTAATGTAGTGTAGAATGATAAAACAAACAATACCATCTCTCACCAAAATAAAAACTATGGTAAAAATATGAAAGGACCTTTTTGCTTTGAGAATAAATATTTTGTTTTGATAAATAATTCATTCTTTGCTACTTCAATAAATGCATAACACATCTGTATCATCAAAATTGTGGTTATTTATGGGGTTTTATGTGTCCAAAATAACATGAGTTACATCTTTTTTTAAGATAAGGTATTTAAATAATAAAAGTATATGCTCGGTTAGTAGTAGATTGCTTTAATTTTTCGCAATGAAAGAAAAAGAACCATTATTATTGAAAATAAATATCCTCACTGATGTCTAGTATATTTTAAAATCTCTATTTATTTTTGTAAATTCAACTATTAAATATTTGTGTTTTATATATAGGTTTACTTATAGTTTTTGAAAACTAACTATTAAATATTTGTGTCACCTTTTTGTTAAACAGCCGCAAAACTTAATCTTGGGCTAAAATGTAACTCGTTCCCTTTCATAAATTAAATTTTCAAAATTCGAAATTTATGTTTGATTCCTGAATGTGTGGAAAAATAATTGTATTAAATTTTGTAGTCCTAAATATAGATAGTGTTTTTAATTATTTTGTTAGGCGATCTTAAAAATATTATAAAATAGTTGAAACCTTTTCAAATAATTAAAACAATGGAAATTCGGTTTCTAGAATGAACACACACGTTTTAAGTACAACAGCTTTAAATATTTATTTTTACAACATTTATGTACAAACAATGCAATCAACATTAAAGCACCATTATCTCAAATTTTAGAGACAAATAACATTCGTTGTATTATACATAGAAACTTAACTATTACAAAATCAATTGAGCTTACAACAAATATAAATTACAATAATCAAGGCAGAAAAGGTATATTCAATTAATTGAACCTTTTAATTAAAGCCATAAAAGTAATAAAATCATATGTAAGGTTTACAATGTATAACTTAAAAAAAGATACTGTTACATAGTTATCTTAGACAAATTTGACATCGTAATCCCTTACATACAAGCAATATACACGTTATTGCGTTCATTTTAGCTATAAATGAACGAGTTGTAATATTGGAGGAAAGAGACTAAGGGCATTTAGTAGCAAACGAGTTATTTTTATGTAGACATATTGTAAAATATCAAATAAGGTACTTAAAGTTTAAACCCAATTAATAAACATAAAGATTTGTCTTTGGGATTATATTTGCAATAATTCATTACTTTTTAAGAGAAAAAATATGTTGGAGGTCTGCATGGAAAAAATAAAAGTTTGATTACCTTTAAATTTTAACTCTAAAAGATTAACGATTTTGCAAAATTTATCCCAATAATTAAGCAATATGTTTATTAATTAAGTTTTTAAGGCATTAAGAATTACGTAGGACTGGAAGAATATACAAAGTGTTAGTTTTGGTTTTGACTCTGATGGAAAATTTACACCAATAGCTGTCTTAAAGTCAAGGCTTTTGTAAAGTAATTAAATGCATCACTTTTAAAATAAAAGTAAAATAGAAATCATAGATTAAAATATTTGAGCTGGCCTATTCATCAAAATATTTCAGAATGAAATTTAATGATGTGTAAAACTAGAAATGGAACTGGATTGGGCACACCTTAAGGAAACCAGATGGCGCAATAGAGAAGAAGGCCCTAACATGGAACCCTCAAGGAGCAAGGCGTAGAGGTTGGCCAAGAAACACTTGGAGGAGAACAGTTGAAAAGGAGGCAGCTACAGAGGGAAAGACCTGGGGGGAGCTCAGAAGACTGGCGGGAGAAAGACAGGCCTGGAGACGTCTCGTGGACGCCCTATGTTCCGATCGGAACGACAGGAATTAAGTCAAGTAAGTCAAAACTAGAATTCAGTTTGAAATTTAACCTTAAAAACTTAGTTTTGGTTAATAAATCATAAGTTAAAATACAACGCAGAATTGCCTTTGAACATAACATAGACTTATTTTAAGTTTCATTTACAGTGTAAATAGCTCACTAAATATACTACAAATTGAAATATTTATATTAATAAATGTTGTTGAAATGTCTTGAAATGGATTTATGATAAATCCTCTTTTACAGGTGTTTGACTTTGAAGTAGAAATAAGATCAACCCAATCCAAACACCAATAGAATTCGTCTCACTCAGACTTCTTGCTAACCACAATAGCAACATAAAATGCAAAATATTACGACACAAAATTGTCAGTTATGAAATATTTTACGAAGAACATCGTCACATATGTTGTCAAGGCCGAAGGTTCTGGCTTGGCAGGATAACACTTTGCTGTACATCTATAAAACAAATTATATTCCAAAACAAATTTTCTACACTAGTTCGTTGCTGAAAGCATGATCTCAATTATGTAGCAAGTTTTCTAAAATTATTTACATAAAAAGAGTTATAATTTCTTTTACATAACATACATTTAATTAAATTATTGAAATCCCTATAAAGAGCTTATCAACATTTTAAATACAAAGTGATGGGTGGGGTTAAACAAACACTAATTTAAATTTTCACAATAAATAATATAGTAATTAGGAGAGATACATTTTTTGGAAGAAGCATGGTGGTATCTGTGGACTCTAGGAATATATTTCTTTGAAATGTATTTAGATTTTTCATTAGAGGTTTCAGTTTCTTGTAGTTTGTTTATAAACAGGGTGTTTTTTTTAAGGGTGCCACCGTTGGGATCTCAGTAACTAATGATTTTACAGCAAACTTTAAATGGGGAACATTCCCTTGTTATTAAAGAGGTTCAAGAATAATTAAATGAAATTTTTGTAAATGGCCGCCATTTTTCAATATGGCTTTGGAATTTATAATGGAACACCCTATATTTTATCATGTTTTCGGATAGAACATGCAATTTAAAAACTTTTTTATTCCTGACATTTTTTTCGATGACTCCACTCGTTTAGGAGTTACAGCCTATGAAAAAATGACTTCCGGTGTACATTTTACATCATGTAGCTCCTAAACAAGTAGGTTTGTAGCGAAAATGCGAAGAGTAAATAAGTCAAATAAGTCTTAAAATTGAATCCACATTCCATAAAGACCATAAAATACACAGTTTACCACTTTTCAAGTTTGGAACTGGACCATTTTGGAAAATGGCTGCCATTTTTGAAATAATAGAATTAATATTTTTAACGAATTTTATGATATTTTTGGAATGTGGATGCAATTTTAAGACTTATTTGACTTATTTACTTTTTTTAGGGTGATCCATTAGAAATTTCAAAGCCATATTGAAAAATGGCGGCCATTTACAAACATTTCATTTAATAATTTTTGAACCTCTTTAAAAACAAGAGAATGTTCCCCATTTAAAGTTTGCTGTAAAATCGTTAGTTACTGAGATCCCAATGGTGGCACACTTAAAAAAAACACCTATATTTCATATCAGTGTGTAACTGTATTTAACTCATGCCAACTCTTAAGCTCAATTTGACTACAGTAAAGGATTTGATTCGATTTTTCAAGTCAGTAGTGTTAACTTGTGAGAGGAGAACAGGTCTGAAATGTACTGTATTTCAAATATATGTTATGGTTGATTTCAACTATGTTTGGAAATATATTTGAGATATAATTACATAAACTATTTAAATATATCATGTTATTTATGTTGGGTGCCTATCAACCACCAACAATGCCACAGACTTCTGTAGGGGGACAAGGAAACAATAAAAAAAATATTATTACGAATTATATCCGACCGAAAATTATATAGTTCAATCTGCAACAGAAATAAACACAGTGCACTTAGATGTAAACTATTGATTTGCCTAAAATAATATAATTTTATTATTCAGGAACACATTTAGTATTTAAATTGCAGATAGTCCTTAAATACAAAATACCATTGAGAAACAGATACACAACAAAACAAAGAAGCAAATAAACAAAGTGAGAAACAAAGTAACCACCTATAGAAGATACCCTATTTATTTTATTTTTAGCCTGCCAAAGTGCTATCTTGCCAAACCCTGTCAACCATCTTTAAGACTAAATGTACAATCGATGTATATTGAAGTGTTAACATCAGAGCTGGGTTACGTCCTGTATAGGGTTTCAAAATTTCAATGTTAACAGGCGTAACACTTGACGAGTCCCACTTCGTCACAGTTCATACACTTCAAAGCTACCAGCTCTGTAGTGAAGTGGTTTCTGTGGACGGACTTCTTGGAGCCGTTACAGACAGCACATGGCAGCAACCTGTATCCTCCACAGACCTGGCAGGTGGTACAGGCGTCCGGGCTCTGGAACAGGAGAGGATTGCGTCAGTAAAGGATGGAAGTACGCAGATGCTAGCAATCGAAGGGTGTACACTGAAATGTAGCGTGTCCCATCCCTTAACTAAGTGTAAGATGTAGTTGTTTTAGATTTTTTTTGTTTAAGCTTTGTTGTAACAGTTGTCTTATTCTTTTACAGCTTTTTTTAGGCTTATCTACTAATGGTGAATCCAGAGCGTTGAAGGTACTTGATCCCGTATTGGAATAGGGAGGGGGTACGCGGAAATTGTCATCGAGGTTATTATCCGTGCTTCACGAATCGTACTTTCTACACCATTGCTTAAACTAAATATATACCTACACGTTATATCTGTTAGCTCAATAAACCTTAAACTCAAGTTTTTCCAGTACCAACATTATTATTTTCATTTTCATTACGGAATACTCTCTCTTTCTAGAGTAGTGGTGGCAGCGACACCTCTGTACACCCTTGGACTATACTTGCGACCGATACAGAACAAATAAATCGTAAAAAAGGTGTGAATATTTTAGTTGGCATAAGTATCTACACAGAATATGAGGCAGCGAGAGACCAAAGTACAAAAAGTTAGCAAAGTATTAGAAGGAATTAGTCAAAAACTATCCAAGTACCGAGAATAATTTAGGTAACATATGATCAAAGTATGTATGTGGAATATACAAGAAAATCAGTAAAGAGTCAAAGAACGCAGAAGAATAGTTATCAAAAGATAACATATGTATGTAGAATAAATTACGCAGCAAGCAAAAAATGAACGCTTAAGTCAGAAATGTAGAAGATAATAAGGCTTGGTAGAAAAATAGGTCACGATTAGAAAAACCGATTTCGGAGATCTGTTCTCTCCATCGCAGATATCCTTTTACATAAAGAAATTCGGAAATTAAAAATCATCTTTTCAGAAATCGTTCTCTAAACATTTTCTAATAAAAACTCCAGAAGCTTGTCCTTTTCATAATTTTTGATAATCCGTCAAAGCCTATACAACGCGATTTACTTACAAAGAAATATTTTACTATATGTTTTGCTGTTAAGTTAAACGCTAACTTCCACAATTGCTGGGAGCTACCATAGTTTGTAATTACTGACTATCCAATTTATATTAACAAGGTCTGGACATGTTCCTGCAATTGAAAATAGGTTCCAACTTTGGCTTGGACCAAAGTGGTTTAACAACTAAATAGTGTGTGATAACATGTTTTACTAATTTAAAACTGCAAGTTAAAAGTGTTCATGATTTTTACATATGTATCGTCCATGTTTATTTATTTTCATAGCTTTAAATTTTACTGCTGTAGTTTCATAAATAGGAATCACTAAAATTCATTGCTGTATTTTTTTTTATTTAAAAGTACTTATCCTACCTAAATGCCATAGGCCTATGTATTAAGTTAGTTAAGTTTGCAAATTTTCGGAATTACATGGCTAAAATCATTATAGTGAGTAACTGGATTCGAATCGAGAACTCCTGCACATAATCCCAAGCTCCAGCCAAAGGCAATCCGTGTTTATTTTAATGTTTAAAAAATATCCATCGATAATGATGGATTTTAGGTATGAATGCAATTCGCTGCTCTTATATCGACTTTTTGACTTGACAATGAAATTCGCATACAATTTTAGCCAAATTTAAATAAATAAAAACATTAGAAATGGCCTATTGGTTAACTGGTAATACATTTCTTCTTGTTTATAACCTTTACGTGTTGGTGCTATTTTCTGAATACAATAAAACACGTTTTATAAAACCACTAGATAATGTAATTTTTAATATTTTGAGTAATTATGAAGAACGTATTTCATTATATTTTTCTTAGTTTGTAAAAATGTGTTTGCTTAAAAACTAAGATTTGAAAACTGAGGCATGACTAAGGTGTTAAAACATTTTAGTTGATTAAACATTGGATGAATTCCGCTTGAACGCGTCTTATCAAATGCTTCAACGGACAAACAAGGTCAAATTTAGCTGATAAAATCAAGGTTAGAGAGAAATTTCAATACACTTAGGAAGTTGACCTTGAAATTAAATCTCAACAAAGTATACTACACTGATCAAACTGAACATTGGATAGAGATAGAAGTATATTGGTTTTGACATTGGTTTTGGATGAATCGTATGCACTTTTCATCCTATTTTTAAATTGGTTTCAATTTTTGTTTCATGTCCATACATATATGAGTGTGCTGGTTTCTGCTTAATGCCTTTTTTATTTGGATAACTTTGTGTGTGCTTTCGTCTTTGGTTAAAATGCAATAGCCAAGTTTGTAGGTATTCTTGTAGGGTCAATAAAATTGTCACTGTAGAACTTTTAAAATAAGCTCACGAGTTATGAAGTTACTCGTAATTTAATTTTTTTAGGAAATTTGTTTTTTAATCGAAAAATTATTATCTTCTATGGAAAATTATGTCAAAATTCAACTGTCGAAAAGTTTTTTAATACTGTACCAATCAGTGTTTTGACAATTCTACATAAAACACATAAATAACCATTGTGATATATCTTGCCGCTGCAATCGAAAACAGATTGTATCAAACTGTTATTTTCGGGACGGATTATTCATAAACTATAATTGACTCAATTCCAGAGACATTATTGATTCTGTGACACCACGAAGTAAACATCTAAAATCTAACATTTAAAGTGCAGACACATACTAGTTAAAAATTATGTAGGTGTCTGTCTTTAGTCTTAAAACAGTAGGTTGATAATTTGACGTAGGTTGATAATATTACTAGTTTCGGGTCAAAGACCCATTTTCGAATTCGAAAACATCAAGTTGTAGTCCATGAAATCCTAAAATCGGACAGTAATGTTCATCAAGAAATAAATACACGTTGATACGTAAAGTTTACATTAAAAACATGTTTAACACAATTTTTGTATGTAAACTTAATGTACCAACGTGTATTTATTTATTGATGGAGACATCTGTCATGGGTTTTTTTATGGACTACAACTTTTTATTACTGTTTTTGGAATTGAAAATGGGTAGTCGACCCAAAACTAGTATAACCCAAACTATCATTTTAAGACTTAAGACGAACCTATCATATATTCGTACAACCAATCTTGGTGGCAAGAACGTAAAAGAATATCTTTTCAATGTCGTCGAAGAGGTTTGTGATAAATATCACCATTACGACAACGGTTATGATACTGAGGAGATTTTCACCAGTTCATCAACAACAGTGGCGTTGCATTGTTCTGTAAATGGCCCTCATTACCCCCCCCCCATTTTACCCCCTCTCTCTTACGTCATTTACCCCCCTCCCTACAGCCACCTGCCGTCCTGAGCTCTCCCGTTACTGTCGCAGGGTTGGATTTCTCTCAGTGTTTACATTTAATTAGAAACAACGAAATGTCTCATTGTAGTAATCTATTGTGTATGTGGTGGCTTAATAAACTGTTAAATATCAGCTTCATACATCAATGTTAGGTTATAACTCGAAATTGAACGTTGGAACTAATAAATTACCTTACAGTAGAAGTACAAACATGATTAATTATTTAATTGGAAAAATTAATTATTTAACGAAAAGTGTCCTACTTAAACTTATAGATTTATGTGATGTAATATAATTTAATTTCTGTGGGTTCAAATTAGAGCGATAAGCAAGTGGTAACGATTTAATTTTAATACTTAGGAAAACAAATGATTAATGTATGTTTATTAGCTATTACCATACCACTTGATTATAAATACTTACCTTGTAAGGTTTTAGTATCCTTCTCAACTCTCCAGATTCGTTCAACCTTTCGATTACTTCGGCGTCCTGAAAAAAATAAACCAAATCAGTAATGTAGCGACAAAATAAAACAATATATGCATAAGAATAATCTAAAAATGTTTTTGCCCAAAGAAAGATTCATGAAATCTTGAACGAACCGAACAACCAATAATAAAAAGACTATTGGATGAAGAGTAAATTGCGTTTTGGTGTTTTGAAACTGGACCCAGCTGGGTTTTAGTTCAGAAACAATACTGAACAAATCATTTTACTCCAATTTACACTCACTATGTTTTTATGACATAAACACCCAAACTTGCGTCACCGTCTTAAAGAAATGATACTAGCTTAAATTACTTTAATAGTAGTTTGAATTTTGTTAAACGTTTACTATTGTTACTTATCATTTGGTAAACTTATGGGCTTTTTTACCATAAACGTGTTAGAACTTATACATCAGGTCACTATAGTGTTAAAATGTCATTTATGAGTAAAAAGTAACAAATTGTTGTGTTAGGTTCTTGGAAGCTTGGAACGTCTAATAAATTGTCTTGGATCATGTTAAGTCTTAAATATTTTCTTCCGAGTTGTTCTGCAACTCTCGAAATTGCCGTCATTTTCCTCTCCCATTCCTTCGGGCCTTTTCTCCCCATTGTTGTTGATTTCCCATTGATAACAAGCACTACACTTTTGACCCATCCACTTTGATGTTTTAGTGGTCTTGCAGTCAATACATTTGTTTTGCATAGGAACTTCATTTGGCCTGGTTGTAGTGGACCTTGAGGCGGATAGTCCTCTGGGCGGAACGTGGCAGGGTCGTAAGGTTAATTATTTTAATTTAATCCTTTAGGATTTAAAATTTAATTGTAACCAGTTTATAAAATCGATCTTTCCATATATTTCATTACAACTCTTGTTTGTCCTATGTACTTTGTTTCCGTGAAAATCACTTTATAAGTTATATTGCTGTTAACTGTTATATTAAGATTGCAATTTTCAAATAGTTTTTAAATAGAGATTTCAAATTAATTACTTTTACATGTTAAGTGATACTATCACAATTCATTAATGTGCTTTCCTACTTACTCTGTTTTACGATTTTAATTGCCAAACCAAACCACTGTCAATGAATTGATACGATATCGGAACTAAGGCACTAAATTAAATGTGAATGTAAGATTTGTTTGCAATGCGATGCGTGTTTTTTAATAATTTCTAAGATCAGATTCTACTTTTGTCTGGACCATTTATTAAGATCCCAATTATTCAAACAGCAGATTCAAACCATTTTTGCTACTGACTAATACTTTTTGCTACTGACTAATACTATTTTTATTTGCATAAGGTTAGTACAAAATTGAATAAAATACATAAACAATGTGGTAACAGTTCCTTAACTTAAGGTTTTAAATTCTGTAACCCCCTAAACCTTTCTTTCTCTAGTTACGAAATTTATTTTACAGAATAAAATGTAGGTCGATGCAAACACAACTGTACGTTCTGGTCAAAAATGCTGACTGTCATCCGGGCTTTTCACGTCACAAACATTAAAGTGGAGGGAACTCTTTTGTGTCTCTGTTTTCTGGTGAACAAAGGCGCAAATACAAAACTCCCCAGATGTGATGAAACCGCGGGAAAGACTCTAGGAAAAGCTTATCGTACTTCGAGAATATGCTAATTTCTTTACATTTTCATTTAAAACTTCATTCTTAGTTTAATATGTACATAAAAAAAATAGAGTGTCGGTAATGGTTATTAAAATATTGTATGGGGTTATTTCAATCTGAAATGATATGTGAAATCAAATGTAGAAAAAATGTATATTTGCATTAAATTAATAAACTGAAAACTTAAGCCAATTGAAACACCTAGTCAATAGAGTAAGAAGCAGCAGTTAAAAGATTTTTTCCTTTAGAATTTTCTATTTACTACTGGTGTTCTAGTGTTCAAGTACCAGTGTTTTAAGATAAATATTTAGCCAAAATTAGTGTCCTCGAACTTTTTATATAATTTTAATACATTACATTCATCTGGCATACAAATCATATTCAGCTTAAAATATTAAAAAACTTATCTAAAATAGTACCTGTGTTGTGTTAGGGTCTAGAAAGTAATGATTTTACAGTTGAATCAGACATCAACTATTCGCTATACGGTTGTATAGAAATTAGTAGCTTTTTGTTGGTTTGAAACTAAGCCCAGCTGTCCTTAGTTGGGGTTTAATTGAATAATCCTGGCTAATGAAACATATGGTGTTAGCAACAAAGCTACACAGATCATCTAACCCCATTCTAGACTCATCCTTCACTCATAATTGGGTTAAAATACACACTTAGGTGACGTTTCCATTTTAATGGGTAATGGTAGCAAATATAATATTCAAAGTCAACAATAAAACTGGGTCAAGAACCCATTTCCTCAGAAGGTAACAGTGTAAACCTTTTTCTGTGTGCTTTGACGGATTTCCTCGGGTTTTCCAAGGGGATACCAAACCGTAGCCAATTGTTACTATTGAATTCAGAAAAATACTATATTCTACCTAATGAAAACATACTAGTAAACTGACTAAAACCAATAAGAGCACATTGTACTCAACTTTAAAATACAATTTCCGTCAATTTCACAAGTGTACTCGTCATGTCACAGTCATCAATAACGTCCCGTTTTTCTGACAGCAATTATGTAATAGGTTAGATTTAGCGTTTCTCTCCAACTCCTATTACACGTGTTTCTATAACAAGCAGGGCTGCCAACCGCAGACCTCAGTCAGTATTGCCAACTTAGTAATTACTGTGCGTCACAAGTTTGCGTCGGTTTACAATCGTAACGTGCAATTTAGACGTTGTGGCTTGACATTTTGTTGACGGTTTTGCATAACGTATTGTCGTAATCTTTTCGTTAATGTTATATTCAAAGAAACCTAAGGAATATACAGTTGGCACTCGAAAATGTGGAATTGAATGCTATGACACATGTGGTAATCCGTTTGTACATTGTATGGGTGGATGAGTGGTTATAGTGTTTGCCTTTAAATACAAATGTCGCCGGTTTGATTCCAATCGAGATCGTTTGTGGACTCAGCTGAAAAAAATTTTTGCTTGGCAATAAATGAAAGATTTTATCCGCCAAATGGTCGATTTTAGGCAGTAACAAGTCGAAGCCTGGGCCGTTCCCTGATAACAACACTTAAAAGTTCCAATAGCGTGAAAGTAAAAAACATCACAGTAAATCAGTCTTCCACGACTAAAGAGTTCTATAATCTGATCATTTACACTCAAAGTAGAACGTTTAAACTTGGCCGATTTAATGTCCATATATGTTTGATAGTCGTGATTCACACGTAATTAAAATATTTCAGGTATACATCAATACACAAATATTTTGCTACGTATTAGTCATAGTAGAAACAAACATTTTAAATTAACAATAAATGCAAATATTTATGTTTGTGCTTTGACAAGTACATAGCAACATTTAGAGTTTAATACAATACTTGCAAACAAATTTTTGGGAAGGTAAGCTTTTAACAAATAAATACTCAAAGGAATCGTTTATTATTTTTTTACTTGAACTAAATTAAATGTTACCTTCACTTTGACCTTTTGACACCCTTACTCAAGACTAAACCTGTGCACTAATGACTTAATCTAGGCTCATAATGCCTCAACTTACTTTTAATTGCATCTTTGACCTCTTTATTACACTAATTGTGAAATCTGATACTTTACTTTGATGGTTAATATTGGATTTATCGGAGCGAAATATCGTAAGGAAAAAGATCATTTAAGTAAAATAGTTTCTGCGACGACAGTAATTACTTTAAAGAAATTACTTGGAGAACAAATTATTGAAAGTGATTGATCATGCTTAAATCACAAGTAGTTACTGTTACTCAACTTAGTGTGAGTGTTTTAATTTTAACACGAATGCAGGTTGAGTGCAAAATGATGTGAAATGTATTTCGTTGCTTTCTAACTAACCACAGCTTCTATACTCAGGCTCTAGCCCAATGATCAAGGTCTGCGGATCTAGTGTTTAACTATCAAATTAATTTCTGGCCGTTTTTTAATGTGCTGGCTTATTTAACTGTGTTTAAGGATAATTAAGGGATCCATATAGAAGGAATGTTTGCGTTAGAATATAAAGGCTGACTAATACAAATACGAAAATTGTTAAATTTTATAGCAAGGATTTGATGAAGATCCGTATCAATTCAAATACCAGCTAAAACTGTTTTTACTTTCTTACTCAGTCAAATGATCCTGTTTTAAGTAGCATAACCTACTGTAGTTCATAAATACTTGACACGATATTTAAGTGCGCGTCAAAGCAAGTGTACCAGCTCACACTGGCGAGTTTCATAATTGTTATAGGCCTGTTTAGTCTCCACAAATTTGAAGATGTAATTTAGTATCCCGAAACCATACTATATTAGTCCTTAAACTGTACTAAAACAGAAAACTATACTAACACAGGATCACTTGATGGAGTAAGGTAATTTAAATCATCTAAGCTCAAATACGTTGATCCAGAGGCTATTTAATTAAAGACTATTCTACAATGCATTGTGGTGATCCTTACCCCGATGTATTGTCCCTCGATGAACACTTGAGGCACGAGAATCTCCTCACAGTTCATCCTCTCCTTGATCTCAGCCTGCGTCTCTCGGCTCATGAAGACATCTTTCTCGTCGTACTTAACCAGATGAGTCCTGAGGATCTGCCGCACCTTCAGACACCTCTGGTAGGTGCTGCGGACGATGCCCATGGTGGTGGTGTAGACGACTATCTTGCCTGCTTCCCGTTCTTGCCATGTCTGAAACAAGAAGAATGAGGTTAGTAAGAGGTAATGAGCATAAGTTTTAGGTAGTATGTAACAAATAAGTGTTTAGTGTGAAGATCAATCGGAAAGGTACGTCTTTGGTGAAAAAGAAATGTAATAGGTAAGTATTTGGTGAAAAGGTTAACCTAAAAAATAAGTCTTTAGTTTAAAACGTAACCTAACACATCAATCTTGGACGTTAAAAGCAACCTAACAGTTAAACGGTTATTATAAACAGTTTATCGAACACACAGGTAAAGGTTGTAGCATAGAGCACAAGGCCCTAGGTTTTAGGATTTTTGAGAGGTTAGCAGGCTTACCTGAATGGGAAAGAGTCCAAACTGGCACAAGGAACTCAAAATTTTAAACAAACATAGTGCTTCTTTTGACAGTTTGGAATATTTCCCATTCAGGGAAATCTGCTATCCTCTCAAAAAATCCCAACTCATAGGTAAGTCTTTGATGTAAAAAATAACCTAACCGATAAATACGCGATGTAAAAATTAACCTACCTGATGAAAGAAGTATCCTATGATAAGTCTCTGATGTAATAAGTAACATCAAGTAAGTATTTGATAAAATAAGTAACCTAACAGGTAAGTCTATTGTGTAAAAAGTAACCTAACAGGTAAGTCTATTGTGTAAAAAGTAACCTAACAGGTAAGTCTATTGTGTAAAAAGTAATCTTACAGGTAAGTCTATTGTGTAAAAAGTAACCTATCAGGTAAGTCTATTGTGTAAAAAGTGACCTTACAGGTAAGTCTATTGTGTAAAAAGTAACCTATCAGGTAAGTCTATTGTGTAAAAAGTAACCTTACAGGTTAGTCTATTGTGTAAAAAGTAACCTAACAGGTAAGTCTATTGTGTAAAAAGTAACCTAACAGGTAAGTCTATTGTGTAAAAAGTAACCTAACAGGTAAGTCTATTGTGTAAAAAGTGACCTTACAGGTAAGTCTATTGTGTAAAAAGTAACCTAAGATAGATTTGATGTCAAAATAACCTTTATGTAAAAAATAACCTAACAGAACAATCATTGGTACAAATAAGTAACATTTAGATAAGTCTTTGATAAAAAGAAACCCAACAGTTAAATGTTTAGTTCAAAAGGAAACCTTAGAGGTAAAGTTTTTGTTCAAAGAGGAAATTCATAAAGCTTCGGTGTGTATGGCAACACGTTAGTATGATAATTAGGTCTTTAGTGTCAAAGGCAACCTAATAGGCCAGTCTTTGGTGCAAAACATAGTGTTGAAAGAATTTTATAGTTGTAAAGGACAACATAATGTGTCGGTCAATTCTTTAGAGTAAAATAACTTAACTTAACCTAAGAGTAATTGCTTAGTGCAAAGAGTTTTTTGGTTGAAATTGTTATCTTATAATTAGGAATGGGTTGAGTGAAAAAATGGGTGTCGAAGTCTCATAAATCACATTAATATGTTTTTACATGCACAATAAGAAATAGCTCTTTTAGGCTTATCAACAAAGGAAATAATGGACGTTATAATATAGAACAATATCCATTTCAGTGATCGAAAATTATAGATGGTGGGGCCTTTGCAAAAGTGGTCAGGATACTAAGACACTTTTTAGCCGACTATGAGGCTATATACTACCAGAAAAGGTCTGCGCAATGATTGGCACGAATGACATACTTAGGATCAGCATAACCACCTAGCAGCCTTAACTGTAATTTTAAAAAAAGTCTTAGCAATTATTAACATTTGTGATCATTCAGCTTAGGAAATTTTAATAGAATTACTAATTTTATAAGTTTTGGATAATCTCCCAACTTGTTTCTACATTTGTTGAGGTATAACCATAGAACACAAAAAGTATCTATTGGCTAAGCATTTATGATGAAAACATTTATATTGTGACTCGTACTGATATTGTGCGCTCTATTGCATTACGCTCTACCTCAGCTCGGATATGTTTAATAGAAATAGAAATTATTAATTTCTATATTTAACAAAAGTATCTTTATTACTGAACTGAATCTGTGTACAACTTGTAAAACATTCAAATGTAAACAATAACAATGATGACATAATATAACATATGATTATAAGCAGATCAAGGAATACTTTTAACCAAACGTGCCCCTTTTCACAAATCTAATTTTTTTGGAGCTTTGACTATCCTTGTTCTGGTACGTTCAATGAAGGGTCGAATATACCACGAATTACGACGCAACTTTCTCCCATTTACTTCAACAATGTATGATCTGTTTCCTAGCACATCAACTATTAGATTTCGACGATCAAAGTTATTTAGTGTTAATAGATTATTACTCAAGATGGATTGAAGTTGAGCGTATTCGAGATAAAAAGCAACTACTGTCATTACTGCATTGAAGCCAATTTTTGCTCGTTTTGGAATACCAAGTATTTTTGTAAGTGACAATGTCCCATTTAACTCTCAAGAATTCATTGACTTCAGTAAATTGTGGAAGTTTGAAGTAAAGTTTACTAGTCCCCATTATCCTCGCAGTAATGGACTCGCGGAAAAAGCAGTAGGTTAAGTCAATGTTGCAAAAGTCAAAGCATGAGAAAACAGACTTCAGTTTATATGTTCTAAATTATCGGTCATCTCCAGTTGCGAATCTTAAAACATGCTATCGCCCTTTAGTTCATAACGACAAAACATCGGGCAAGACGTCATGCCAACGAGTTTTGTTTTGCCGTAAAACTTTTAACTAACGCTTCAGATTTTATTTGCCTTGATGTTTTTTTTCGGTGCAGGGGCCTTAATTAAATCCTCTGACAGCTCATTCTAGCACAAAGTACACAATATTGTTTTAAAATTAAATTGTAACAACAACACAAAAACTACACAGAAAAACATAAACATTAGCAATAATAAAATAATATGACATATGATTATACACAGATAAAGGAATACTTTTAACCAAACAATTATCCTCGCAGTAATGGACTCGCGGAAAAAGCAGTAGGTATAGTTAAGTCAATGTTGCAAAAGTCAAAGCATGAGAAAACAGACTTCAGTTTATATCTTCTAAATTATCGGTCATCTCCAGTTGCGAATCTGAGGTATTCTCCTTCGCAACTACTTCAAAGTAGAGTTCTGAACACTAAGTTACCTGTAATACCATCAAAACTTAAACCACGGATTATTGATGATAAAGAAGTGACAAGCAAACTTGGCCAGGGTATGCAGTGTAATAAAACAGCACTAAATAAAGCCAGTGTTTTCATAAAGGGACAAAAAGTATTAATCAGGAATGTTTCCAACCTTCAGTGGGAAGAAGGTATAATAGTTGATGTACTGGGAAACAGATCATACATTGTTGAAGTAAATGAGAGAAAGTTGCGTCGTAATTCGTGGTATATTCGACCCTTCATTGAACGTACCAGAACCAGGATAGTCAAAGCTCCAAAAAAAAATTAGATTTGTGAAAAGGGGCATGTTTGGTTAAAAGTATTCCTTTATCTGTGTATAATCATATGTCATATTATTTTATTATTGTTATTGTTTACATTTGAAGTTGTACACAGATTGAGTTCAGTAATAAAGATACTTTTGTCTATTAAACAGTGCGCTCTATTGCATTACGCTCTACCTCAGCTCGGATATCCCTATTAGCGCGAGGGGAGCGCCATTGGACAGCGTTGTGGAGATCAATTAATTACAGACCTTTACAATCTCTAAAATACGCCAATATTCGTTAACAATGTTTCAAATAGGATACAACATTTTTTAAGCAATAGTGCATGCCAATCTAATGGAATACATGACACAAAAAATGCAGTACAAAACTAAGCAGACAGAATCTGTTCCATAGCCGAGCGCGGCGAAAAGTGGAGCGAACCCTTGATCGTTTGCGTTAAGTTAAATTTGACAATATATTTTTTCACTCAAGGGAAGTAGGAGAAGTCAAGCATAATTTGACAAAAATCGCCAACATTCTGTCGAGAAAATCGGGAACTACAGTATTTGCACCATACCACTAATACCGAGGTTGACGGAGAAGTCAACCGAAAACGGTATAGAAACTGTCGGTTAAGGTTGAACCAACACATCCTGTCGTTGGCAAACAGTAAGTAGAGATTTATTTTGCTGCATGTTACAGGAATTACCATTTTTACCTTGCTAATTCATTTAGTCTTTATCGTCATGGAAGCGTAAAACATATCTTTGCTGAAAGGGTAACATAAGTAAGTTAGGTGGTTTTAACAAGTCAGCAGTACTTCTTAAAACACTTAGTATAGCATAGGAGTACTTCTATAATTTACAAAAATAGCAAAGCTCTTTTTTATAGAAATACTCTTAAACAGCAAATATTTATCGAGAGTCACAATGCTTTAGAAATTTACTGCAGTTGGAAAAAGTAAAATATTTCTCATTTCATTATGTATTCAGACCTTGATACCATCTTAAGTGTCCTAAACTGAAGCTAAACACGATAAACGTGATTTAAACTAAATTTATGGTAAATTGAAGCCTGCCACTAACTTAGGAGCCATTATATCAAACAAGACCTTGCCCATTCTGGGCCAAACGTTTCGCCAATGCCGAAACCAGACCGCACTTTCGTTTCACTCAATTATTTGAAATAATTGGATCAAACCGGTTGGCCTGCTGTCACTGTATGCTCAATATATTAGGGAAGTAGGACAGAAGATGTATTTTTATTAAAAGCTGATTATGCGTTTGTAAAACTACGTGATTTTTTATGTATTTGTAACGATTTTGGTTATTTTTCGCTTCTACATTTCAACAATAGAGTTATTTTATATTTGCAGAAATGCATTACTATTTTATAAAATACAAAACTATCATAACATATAAATATCTTCCTTTTTCTATTATGTTTATCTTTTTGTTTGTTTGCTCATAGCAAAAAAGACTTGACAGAAAAATTTAAATTACGTCACAATTCCTTTAACCCTGATGGAATTTCGTAGTCACATCCAGTGTTTACGAAGTATTAAGATTTGCGCACCAAGACTTTCGGTAACCAAATATATTGTCTTAGT